CTAATTATATTTTAGATTTTTTATATTTAAAATGAGATATTTATCATGTATTCGATTGTGTTTATCTGCAGTTAGTTACACGAATTCAGTTATGGGATGAATTCGGATAGAGATGAAATTGTTTAGGGATGAACAAGTTTAAGAGTTTTAAGAGTTTAAGAGTTTTTAAGAGTTTTAGCCATATGCTTTATAATATAGTATAGATTAAAAAATTAGATTAAGAAAATTACATCAAAACAAAAACTTTTAAAAAGGTTAATTTGATACTGATATCGGTACATTTTTTTTTTTCAAAATTTTATAATATTTTCAAATTTATATTTTATTCAAAAATAAAAACACTATCGCTTTCTGTAAAACCACATAAAACCGTATTATATCGACATAAAAAAGGAATAAAACGAAATACTGAAATCAAAATGTATCTCGATGCATTACACGAATACACTTCTAGTTAAATATAATGGGAGCTTAAAAAGTTTTTTTTACAGTAGGAAAATTCAGATTTCTGAGTTATTGAATTAAAAATGACACAAAACTGTAGGACGAGAAATCCTATTGAACTCAAACTCATCATCATATAATGTCTTGATTCATTTGATGTCTCATAATGAAAGTCTTTTTCACGTGGACCATTTAATGTCAATAAAAAAGATATGATAAGATTTATATGTTAGGTGGCGTGATGTGTTTTTTACCATATTTGATCTTGATAACAAAATGCATATGTTATTATCGTCAAAGGTATTAGAATACTCTACGTTGTTCTAAGAGGTAACGGCTGCGAGTTTCTAACTAATGAATACAATATTTGGCATTTAAATGGATATGTTTTTATATAAATATTTATTTGAATTTTATGTCTTATTTTTGAACATTTTTATCCATATATCCTATTTTTAGATTAAAAGAAAATTAATTTACTCAATTGGTTTTCTAGTGAATATATATATATATATATATATATATATATTTGGATAAAAAGAATAAATCATTTTACCATTTTGACATTTTGGTCATATAAGTGTGTATATAACTATACTGTAATAGATTATAATTCGGGTCTATGTGGTTTGTCGGTTGTAATATTTTATGTTTTATTGTTTCTAAAATATAAGATAATCATCGTGGTTTATAAAAGCGTTCAAATTTGACCATCTTTTTTAACGGCCGTTCAACACCCGTTAAGTGAGGTGCATTTTCGACTTTTAACATTTCCTCTAATTTTTCTTTAAAAAATGGAGTTTTATTTGATGATATACTGTATTATATTAATTAGGGTTGAGTTCCGATAAGAAAGAGAGTTAGAGTGCGAATCATAAAAAAGAATCACCACCCTTGAATGCACATCAGAATGAAATGCACATAAAGATGATAAAGGGTCCAAATCTTCTTTCGTTTATCATGTAAGTCTACTTCTCACATGATCATTTGCCATAGTAATTATGTAATATGATATAATTATATACTTAGGCGAATGATTATTATAAGAAGGGAAGTTATGGTGTGAAGTGTAAGAAAAGATATGAACCCTTGATCACTTTTAATCTCATGTGCATCCATGAATTATGCTTTAAAAGAAAATTGATTCCATGCGTCTTGGTGCACCTCATTAATGTTAACATTCAATTAAGATTGATACAACCTACGCTTCTCGTCATAACTTCCCTTTAAAAGCCAACCTTATATACCTCATATACTTATACAAACACAAACACAATTAAAAGCGGCGACTACTTCTTTGATGGCCACATGCCCACGCCATCTTTGTCGACAAGATCATCAACGGTGACCCAAGGTTGTATCATCACCCCCGACATCTGCGTTGACCCGCTCTCATCTTCTCTTCAAATCCATGGAACACACACTCTCTCCCTCCCTCTTTCCATGGCTTTCCTCCATTTTTACACATCTCCGACCAACTTTAGGACTACAAAATCCAGTGATGTACGCCCAACTCCCA